GAACACAGTGCTTCATTTCCACAGCTGTTGACATGGAAAACTCTTCTTTCCAGAACACATCTCAGTCCTCTGCAGAACTCCAGGAAACACAGGCACAAGACACAGGACAGGACTTGTGTGGGCAAAGGCTCTGCTGCCCTGCAGGTGGTTTTGCTTTGTTTGCTTCCTCCTCCTCCCTTTTGGGAAGAGAAGGGATTTAACCTGCTGTAGGAGCTTCTGGAAGAAGCATGCCCTCGGGATAAAGGGAATGAGTAGTGTGATGTGCTCTGTGCTAGCATGGCACGCTCCCTCTCTCCCTAGGGAAAGGAGCAGTGTTTCTGACACACCCTGAGCCTGTGTGCTCCAGCCTTTGAGGATGTTTGTTGCTGCAGGTGGGATGGTTTGGGCTTTGGGAAGGGTGAGCAGAGAGCCCTGTGGACACACCTGGGGGTCAGCACAGGCAGCTGACCTTGAAGTGAGTCCAAGTGCCCAAGCTTACCTGCATGGGACTGCATGTGCTCCAGGAGATTGTTATAAAACTGGAACTGGATTCCACAAGCTCCACAGGTGTAAGGCTCTGTTTGGGAGAGATGAGTTCAGAAGAATTACACAGAGTATGCAGGGAGGCAGCACACGTGCATACTGCAGGCTGGACAGCCATGGGGCAGTGCCCCTCAGCACACCTGTGTGTCACAGCAGCTCCATAGAGCCCATCCTGCAGGGCTGTGACCTGGGAAAGGCTTCCTGGCTGGGCTTGGGCATCTTCCATCTGCTTCTCTTAGTGCCAGAAGAAGGCATGGGATGGCAGAGGGACAGGTCCTTCAGGACACTAAGGGAAGCACCTGCTGGGGGCTGTGTGTGGATCTCAGTGGCTGCACACTGGGTTTGCTCTCCCAGTCCTGCTGCAGCCTGGTGTGAGCACATCCCTGTTCTGTTTAAGCCTGTGAGCAAAGCCTTGGGGAATTCATTTGACATCCACATACAACACATAAGAAGGTGGTGGAGTCACCATTCCTTCTTAGTGTCCAGTCCTGCCTCAGGTTGGCTTTAGGACCTTCCTGGCTGGTCTGCTCAGTCCATTTTGGGTCCCTCACTATCCAAAGGCCATTGAGGCACTGGAGCGAGTCCAGCCAAGGGCAGCGAGGGCAGCAAAGGGCAGAGCACATGGGCAAGGGCTGAGGGAGTTGGGGTTGGTTCGCCTGGAGAAGAGGCTCAGGGGTGACCTCCTGGCTCTCTGCAACTCCCTGCCAGGGCTGGAGAGAGGTGTGGGATGTCTGTCCTGCCAGGGCTGCAGGGAGAGGATAGAGGAAAT